GCAGTGTTTGTATGGTCCTGGAAAATCTTTCTAAATTCACAGCAATGTCATAATTTTTCTGATTTTTAACTGGATGGTTAAAAATAGGTTGCAGAGAAAGTCTTGTATTCCAATTGCTTTGTTAGTCCCTTTTCAGACATACCACCGGTACTTGTAGACTAAAACAGACCTTACATATTTATGGTTTCTCAATGTCACAGAGCTTGAAATTAACTTCAGTTTTCTTATTTTAAACTTTATGTTTAAAAATGACAATTTTCAAAATTATTAGACTTTAGTATCAAAAAATAATGTTGTTCAGACATACTTGTAGGGTGAAACAGACCTGACATATTTATGGTTCCTCAGTGTTTATGTCACAGAGTGGGGATGTGTCATGTGTATTCACTGAGTGGACCTCTCACATTTTGTGAAGTTACCTTCAGTTCTGTTATTTTATATTTTATGTTTAAAAATGATATTATCTATCATTATTTTTCAAAATTATTATTAGACTTTACTATCAAAAATAATATTTTGCACTTTGCAAATCCTGTAAATCACCACTAGTTTAATAAGGCAATTAAAATTTGTTGCTTCACTCAGAATAAATCCATTGTTTGATTTTGTGTTTGTGTTTGTGTTGGTGGGGTTTTGTGCGTGGTTGGTAGTGCATGGTGGTTGTGGGGGTGGGGGGATGTGCCTACCTATATTTCCTTGCCACAAGCAGTTTTCTGGCAACTGTGCGACAAGCTGGATTCTGGCAGTTTACAAGAAATTGTGGCATACATGCCGCAAACTTTGTGGCAACCTTGCCACATTAGTTGCCACAAGTGCTAATTTGCATGCGAAAATATGCATATGCTGCAAGTGTGCCGCAAATCACTTGTGGTACACACCCCACAAAGTTGTGGCAAGCTTGCCACAAGTATGTGCCAGAAGCCTTGTATTTCCGTAAGGGATGACATCACTAGAATCAACCATTTCTACAAAGAAGTGATGTCAGGGGATAACTTCAGATAACTTACCAGAATGCATCTTATTTTTAGATTCATTTATCCACGGCAATGACTTCACCTTTTGTAGAACTGCTATGAAAAATCCGCCAGAGTCCTGGTGATGTGGTAATAAACGCATACTAGATATAATACAAAAATGTATAGAACCATTACAATCAGGTTATCAATTACCAAGACTATCTTTAGGAACTTTCACTGCTATCTAAGCTTTCAGAAGGCTAACAATATATTTTCTAACCCTTCATTTGCATTCTGGAAGATTAGTGGTACATATGAACTGCTAAGGATCAGTTTAAGACTGTTATCTAAGCCTTCAGAAGGGTAAACTAAGCCTTCAGCCTTCAGAAGTGTAAACTAAGCCTTCAGAAGGGTAAACTAAGCCTTCAGCCTTCAGAAGGGTAAACTAAGCCTTCAGCCTTCAGAAGGGTAAACTAAGCCTTCAGCCTTCAGAAGGGTAAACTAAGCCTTCAGCCTTCAGAAGGGTAAACTAAGCCTTCAGCCTTCAGAAGGGTAAACTAAGCCTTCAATCTTAGTACAGGTATGACTTACCATCTGTTTATATGTAAACTATCAATATCTTTAGGAGCAAACATCGTTTCTCTTAATCTCTTTTTATTTCGGTCGGGTACATCTTCAAAAGACAGAAATTCTTTACCATTTTCATTCAGAATCTTGAGAGACAAAATCAAATAATTCATACTATGAGAGCAATCCTATCCATAGTATATAATTTCATCCATCATAGATTTACTTCTTTGACCTATGGTTCAACATTAATTTAGATTGCCATTGAACAACAGCATTAGGAATGATGAAAAAAATAAAACCACTTACAAACTATCATTTAGACTGTAAATGTACACATACAAATAATTTACTTTTTGAGTTCCTACCAGCTTTGCTTATTATTCTATTATATGCAAAATTACATTTAGTTTTAATTTGCAAGAAAATACTGGCCAAGTTTTTGTTGGGGAGAATGATTTATACTGCATAATGAAAATACAATATTGAGTTATCCATCTAATAACTGATCTTAAAGAACATATTACTAACAACTAGTTATCAGTATTTATTCTGTGTACACAGAACACATGCCTATAATGAACTTGGTCGAGAATTGTTAATGAAATATCCATGTTTGAAAAAAGATTGAATATAAACTGTGTTACAGCATTGTATGCCGAAGACGAAAACGACAACTTCGTGGACAGACATTTTCTCCTCACAAACTGGCATGTTTCCTTTCATCTAATGACATGGCAAGCAAAATCCTAATATAATTATAGTGAATGTACTGTTAAAAATACCTTCCATGATGTCATTCCATTAATCCTCTTTAATTGTGGCAATTTTTGTGAACAATCAACCAACTCTACAGCACCTTAAAAATAAAAACACTGACAGTCATTGAGAATGTAGAAAACAGTGCCTAATTTCAGTTTGTGTTCACATACCTTTGCTTAAACATTGTAGAGTCATTAAACACTGTTTTGTGATAAAAATGATGATTTTAATGGTGAAGTTTGAAGGTGCAGGCATTTTATTCTGTGTGTATTTCAGGAAAATTAAATAAAGTTAATTCTGAACGTAGTTTCAAATAATGTGCAAACATTTTTACAATCTTGTTTCATTCCTGGCAAACAATACACATGTAAGTCACGATTGTATTATTAGTTGGACTGAATTACACTATATCTATAAGGGAATTTGTATTAAGTGTGATCCCAAACAAGTTTAATGCCTGAAATGAGGATAATATAATATAGCCTAGATAATCTTCAGGGAAAAAAAAGTTTTTTTTCTAGAAAAAAAAATTGCAAGAGGGAGCACTGAATTCAGCAACACTACCAAGTGGGGGAGATAGGGTTCTCCCTACCAGGGTGTGGAGAGTTTTTGATAATTCTAAGTTAAAATGGAGCATTCTATGGCTTCCTTGGGGCCAAAATTACTATCAGACAAGTCACAGTTAAAGACATGTGATTCCTGGTCAATCAGAATTTTATGGTTGCCAGAGGATCTGTCCCCCAGGGTAAGGGGGCGCATAGCCATGGCATGAGGGCGCTGCGCCCCTATTCCCTTGTTTAAAAAAATTCCTGATTTTGGACCAATTAACAATTATCTACAGAAATTACAATTTGTTAATGGATATAATGAAGTCATTGTTTACTTCATCTGTATTCACTTGTAACAAAAACTAATTCATTGCAACGCATCAGACTGTTCAGAAAAGTATCTCTGCTCGGTATTTTGTACAACCAGTAGATTTGTGTTAGATATACATGTATCAGTGATTGGCTGTAAGTCAGCATATTGAACTCACAAGGCATTTCTCTGCGCCATAATAACAATTGTCCAGAGACTTATTTAAGTTTTTAAATGAAAATTTAAGAAAATTAGCAATTGGTAGGAGAGATTGTCAATGACATTTTTATTTTTACATCTCCAGTTAAGAAATGCATAGTTCAAATCTACCATGCATGGATGTCATGACAAGTACCGGTAACCATTAAAAGTCAAGTTTTTATTAACAATGTACTGATCTAATAGTCATTCAGTCCTGATATGAGGCTGTACATGCTTCCCATAAATCCCCTTCAATGTTTTTAGTGTTTCAGTTTATCTTGTTAAATGACAAATGGAGGTGTTTTACAGTCTGTTTTGAAACCATTTTGGTATGCAGGATTGCTGCCAATATTAGCATTTCAAGATAAGCAAGCACTAGGCTAACTACTAAAGTCTGATTCAAATGCAACAGTTTGGGATCACTTAGCAAGCACTAGGCTAACTACTAAAGTCTGATTCAAATGCAACAGTTTGGGATCACTTAGCAAGCACTAGGCTAACTACTAAAGTCTGATTCAAATACAACAGTTTGGGATCACTTAGCAAGCACTAGGCTAACTACTAAAGTCTGATTCAAATGCAACAGTTTGGGATCACTTAGCAAGCACTAGGCTAACTACTAAAGTCTGATTCAAATGCAACAGTTTGGGATCACTTAGCAAGCACTAGGCTAACTACTAAAGTCTGATTCAAATGCAACAGTTTGGGATCACTTAGCAAGCACTAGGCTAACTACTAAAGTCTGATTCAAATGCAACAGTTTGGGATCACTTAGCAAGCACTAGGCTAACTACTAAAGTCTGATTCAAATGCAACAGTTTGGGATCACTTAGCAAGCACTAGGCTAACTACTAAAGTCTAATTCAAATGCAACAGTTTGGGATCACTTAGCAAGCACTAGGCTAACTACTAAAGTCTGATTCAAATGCAACAGTTTGGGATCACTTAGCACGCACTAGGCTAACTACTAAAGTCTGATTCAAATGCAACAGTTTGGGATCACTTAGCAAGCACTAGGCTAACTACTAAAGTCTAATTCAAATGCAACAGTTTGGGATCACTTAGCAAGCACTAGGCTAACTACTAAAGTCTGATTCAAATGCAACAGTTTGGGATCACTTAGCAAGCACTAGGCTAACTTCCTGACTGCAGAACAGGACTACATACCTTGACTTCTACTAAGTAATGCAGCCACTACAGCTTCATTTTCTACTGGGTTGAATGAACACGTAGAATAAACTAAACGGCCGCCAATTTCCAACACTTCCACTCCTCTTGTCAGTAAACGAAGCTGTATACTGGAAAATAAATGTATCTCTACGATAAATACACATTTATGATTGGATGAGAAGTAGTAACTGTTGTAATTCAAGCAAGCGAGTCTAAAAACAGCGATATCATGGTTTTGATGTTCTGAACATTGCCTTAAACCGGAAAATGCCGAAATTTGTTAAAATTTGGCAAATCAGGTCAAAGGTTTTTCATAAAGTATCAAATTGCATAGGAATCAACCCAGTGGTTCTTTAGATATTGGTGTAACAATATCTGACACATCCACACATCCTGTTGGAGCTATGCACACTGGACCCACCTATAAGCGTTGAATTATCAAATACTGGGAATCTTAGATGACAATACATTCAGCAAACTAAAATTCCTACCACATCTAAATTTTTAAAATATCATTTCCCTATATCATAAAACCATGATGCTAAAATGCATTTATTTACTTACGGATGTAAAGAGAATCCATTATGAACACTCCAACGCTTCCAAACCAAATAATTTTTCCTCAGTGTTCCATCAGCACTGGGAAGTAATGAAGAAAGCAAGTTTTGATAAGCAGGATGAGTTACATGTATCACAATGAGTTGACAGGTGTACATGCAACTACTTTGTAAACACAAGAATGACTGTGGTGTGGACAGTTCACCTGATTGACTTCATCAGGAAAGTATCCAGTTCAGATATAGAGAAACAATATTGACAAAAACTCACCTACAAGGGACATCACAGAGGACCCTATCAAACTTCAACTGTTTAAATTGTCCAGTGTGTTCTGCATCAGGTATCTTGATAACAGGCATGGCAGTAGCATCATGGTTTACAATCATAGAACAAGGACTGTTCAGTCTTTTAGTTTGATGTACCATGATGTAACATCGTTTGTTGTCAGAATCATTGGCAAGTACAAATCCATCTGTAAGTCAATGAGAAAAAACATTGAACTAAACTGTCAAACATTCTCATCTGAAGTTATGATAATTTTTTTTAAACCATTAAACACTTCTCAGGTTGATTTCTTTAAATATTGCCTTGGTTTCTCATTACATTTCACAGGGTAGACAAAACACAGATCAAAAACTACCAAACATAACTGATAAATAATGTCATCAACAATAGACTTGATTGCTCCCTCTCCCAAACAAAAAAGTAAAAAACATGAATACTATTCTGAAGCAAAATTACACATGGTGGTTTAGTAAGGGTGGATAGATTAACATTACACATGGTGGTTTAGTAAGGTGGATAAATTAACATTACACATGGTGGTTTGGTAAGGTGGATAGATTAACATTACACATGGTGGTTTAGTAAGGTGAATGGATTAACATTACACATGATGGTTTAGTAAGGGTAGATGGATTAACATTACACATGATGGTTTAGTAAGGGTAGATGGATTAACATTACACATGGTGGTTTAGTAAGGGTGGATGGATTAACAGTACACATGGTGGTTTAGTAAGGGTGGATAGATTAACATTACACATGGTGGTTTAGTAAGGGTGGATGGATTAACATTACACATGGTGGTTTAGTAAGGTGAATGGATTAACATT